CTGCCCGAACCCATCAGCTCCGCCCGGGCTCTCGTCCCACCGCCGGGCCTTCCTAAGCCACACCCACCCCGCCTCCGTTCTCCACCCTCCCCCGGTCTCCGCCCTCTTCGCGGGCCTTTGTCACCCGGAGTAACCTGGCCAGGCCTCTGTAGGGCATTACAACGCCTTATAGGGAGTTAGCGACCTCTGCGGGCCCTGTCCGTTGCCGCGATCGGTCGGCCGAAGGAGCTGGTTGGGAAGGGCGGGGTTCGGGCTCCCGCGGGGCCCGCGACCCAATGCCTGACCCTCAGAGTTCCCTTCTGGAAAAACGACGCAGCCTGTTAAGTGGGTTCGCCATGCTTTCTAACCTACATGGATCTTGTTCTGGAACCAGCCACTGGAGGTCTCCGTTATTTTCATATTGCAGAGAAAGCCGGGGGTCTCTCTGTACCACTTGCTTGCCTGACCCTCCCAGCAGTTGGCGGGACTCAAGGGGTTGGCCACCGAGTTCCATCACCTCACACGCAGGCCCCACGATCCAGAGGACACGGAGGCCAGACTCTGCTTCCTCGGACATCAAGGCCTTCCACGGCCAGGCCCCAGCCCAGCTCTCTAGCGTTCCCTGCCGCTTGCAAAACCCCCTCCCACTCAACGCCCTTCTTTCCTCCACACTTCCGGGGTGGCCGCTCTGAGCGGTGGCCAGCCAGAGCTCTTCCCCCAAGAGGCGGATGTCAGAAATGTTAAGAAGCTCAGACAACCCCAATCACCGCCCTTCTCATCTCCCAACCGAGAGTTGTGTAATCTGAGGCTGGGAGGGAAGATGGGGTTGCCTGAGGCAGAGTCAGATCTGGAGTGAGGAATTGAAGACCAACTTCGGTCTGGCTACTGGCTATTTAGAAAGGCGAGATTTCTGTCCCCAGCAACATCTGTCATTTTCCAGATGAAGGGATCTCAGTGATAAAAAGCTTAAGAGTTTAGGATTTGAATTTTCCCATCCTGTTCTAGTTGTGAGGCATAACTTCTCAAGTTCCTTAGTCCTTCAGAAGTCAGTTTCCATATCTGTAAAATGGAAGCCCAGTCCTAACTCCTAGACCACCAGAGAATTCCCTCACAGTCTGTTCTTTTCTTTCTTGGAACTTTATCTTAACTTTAACTTAAATCTCCATTATCAATTGCTCCATTGTGTCTCTCCATCCATCCTCACATCATTTAAACTCGCTCGGTGTCTTAAGTCTTGAACGGAAATCTTGTCTAAAGATTACTTTCTAAAGCTCAAGTCCCATTTCCTTCCATTTTGTAACAGAACTGAAAGAACAGTTACTATTTCCTCATATTTCCTTCAACCTTTTTCTTTTTTTTCTTTCTTTTCGCTGAGATGCAAGCAAGCAGAATCTTAGTTCCCAGACCAGGGATAGAACCTGTGCCCCATGCAGTGGAAGCACGGAGTCTTAAACCTCTGGACGACCAGGGAATTCCTCCCTCAAACTTTGACTTACAAAGATCACTGGTGATTTCACCCTGTAATAAGGGTGATCTCCCTATTAATGTCTTAATAAGGTCAAAGTTATCTTCCCATAATTCCCGTGAGTGTTTCTTACTCGAACATAAGTAACTAAAGGCTTCCCATGTATTGGCTTCCCTGGTGGCTCAGCTGGTAAAGAATCCGCCTGTAATGTGGGGGACCTGGGTTCAATCCCTGGGTTGGGAAGATCCCCTGGAGAAGGGAATGGCTATCCACTCCAGTATTCCGGCCTGGAGAATTCCATGGACTGTATAGTCCATGGGGTCGCAAAGAGTGGGACACAACTGAGCGACTTTCACTTCCCATGTATTAATTCATATAATCAACTACATTTTGCAGAGGAAGAAATGGATTTAGTAACTTGCCTACAGCTCATAAGTGCCGTGGTGGGGATTTGAACCCAGTGTGACCTGTGGCCACAAGCGCAGCCGTAATCCTCTGCTGCCTCTCAGCGGCACAGGGTTGCTATGAGGGTTTAATAAGCTAAGGTGTGACTGGCAGCTAGCAGGTGCCCGGCACACTGCCAAGGGCCGGTGTGATTCGTGACACCCATGTGGCAAAGGAGCAGAAGGTGGAATAGATTCCCAGGCCCTGCAAAGGCTGACCAAGGAAGTGAGCTAGGTGCTCCAGGAGGGAGGCTTGAGCTGTTTCAGCGACTGAGGCCCAGAGCAGGGAACGGGACCAGAGGTATGGGGGGAACAGGGCTAGGGGGTGTCAGTGTTTTCCAAGACTTGGGTTTTCTGCCCCCATTTCTGCTCTGGGCCTGGGCAGAGATTCCAGAAGGCTCTGGGGTGGGTGGTGTCAGGTATCTGGGGATCTCTGGGAGAGCACCAGGGGGCAGTCACTTACCATCCTATCTGGGGTTGGGGCGGGGAGAGGAGGGAGGCTGGAGAGGCCGAACCCAGGGCGTCCTGCAGGGGGCGTCTCAGGGCCCGCCCTGGCCCTGCTTCACCCTCTTCACAGATGGAGCCGAGACTTCCCTTCTGGAGTCAATACGGCCTGACACCCCAGAGGCCTGCTGTCTGCTTGGTGGGAGCCAGTTACTCTTCCAGAACCGTTCTGCCCCACTCCCCTCGCCCCGCAACCCGGAGCCTTAGGGCTCCAGCTGAGGGACTGGCCTTTGAGACCACTTTCAAGGTTCAAGCCTTTCAGGCTGGTCACACCTAGAGAAGGGTTTTGTTTTTGTTCTTTTTTTTTTTTTGAGATCTTTAACAGGGCCACCAAGGGGATTGTGCAAGGACAGCTCAGCCTCCAGGGCCCAGAGAGGTGGGGGAGGAGGCTCCAAAAGTTGGGGAGCTTGGTGATGGAGGTAGGGGTTCAGAGAAGTGGAAGAACTCCCAGAAAGCAGGGAGTTCCAGTGTGGGAGAAGGGGCTTGTTGCTGGGAGTGGGGTGTAGTGAGGGAGTGGAGGATCAGAGAGGGACATGGACCTGGCAAGAAGGATGGGAACTCAGGGGGGCCTGGGGGAGGGGGCTCAGGGACCACTCTGGTCATCCGTTCACCCGATGAAGTTCTGAATCCCCCTGTCCCGCTGTCTTCCCAGCCTCAACACAGCCTCAACACAGCCATCCCTAAAGGACTTTCCAAAGGACTTTCATGAACCCATCTGATGAGGGGGAATGAAAGGGGTTGTCTAGACCTGCTTCGGGGTCAGGGCCAAGACTGAAGGCCTTCCTCATACTAGGTCCTCATTGGTTCTGTTAGAAAGCCGTCCTTATACCTTTGGGCCCCCCTGGGAATTTGGCCTTCCTACCATTGTTAGGGAATCCTCAGTAGCTGCCAACCTTGGCCATTCTCCCTTGATTCCCAGCTCGCACAGAGCTGGCAATGCTGACAATCCAAACAGGAGGGGCCTCAGGAGCCACCCAGACCCCTCAGAATGGAAACTGAGCCCAGCTCAAGGCTGGAGCCCCCCAGGCCCTGCCTCCAAAAGGCACAGAGCTGACTCAGACCTGGCCTCAGCTCAGTGCATTTTCCTGAATGCACAGCCGCTCCTGCAGCCTCTGCCAGTTCTTTAAACCTAGCAGGCTCTGCCCCATTCCTGGCAGGCTCTGCCCGGTTCGGCCCTGAGGTGGGGGTGAGGGCAGATTTCCTTCCACCGAGGTGGCCCCTCTACCACCAGGGCTGCATCTTGACCCAACCATCGCCACTTAGGCTGCGCAGGGAGGTGTTCCGGGCTGGTCGGCTCTGCAAGGCTGGAAGGAAGGGTGGGAGGGGGATATGAAACTGCAGGGACCTCTCCTTGGGCAGGTCAGTTTCCCCAGAGTCCCCAGACATGACCTTTTCTCTCCGGGTTGGGAGTTGGGAGCCTGTCTGGGCACTTGACTTTCCCTTGCCCTCAGTCTGCCCTTCAGAAGAGACAAAGGGGGCTGGCAACTGGCCAGTGAGGCTCTTCCGCCCTCCACACTCCTACCCAAGGCCATCCAGAGATTCTGTTATTGATCTGGAGTTGTTCCTTCTTAGCCAAACCTGGGATTCCTGGGATTTTTCATGCTTCCAGCTCTCCCAGCAGAGCTGTCTCATAAGTTGTTCAGTCGCTCATTTGGGTTCGACTCTTTGTGACCCCATGGACTATAGCATGCCAGTCCCTGTCCTTCATCATCTCCTGGAGCGTGCTCAAACTCATGTCCATTGAGTCGGTGATGCCATCCAACCATCTCATCCTCTGTGGTCCCCTTCTCCTCCTGCCTTAAGTCATTCCCAGCTTCAGAGTTTTTTTTTCCAATGAGTCGACTCTTCCAGTGAGTCAGACTTTTTCATGTTTCCAGCTCTCCCAGCAGAGGTGTCTCATGAGAGGCCTATGAGAATACGGTTCATCCTCAGAAGGCAGAGTTCAATGCATACAATGAAGTCATAGTCACCTGGACAGGTGGAGGAGGGAGGGAAGAGTCAAAACTGCCCAGAGACTAAGAGGATCTTGCCATGGATAGCGTCATTCCCGCCTCTGGGCTCTTGTTCTTCAGGGCTGGAACCCAGGGACGTGGTAGATGGACAGATGGTACACACTTTGGGGTGGGGAGCGCACATTCCTGGAGGCGGCTTCTCTAGGAGAGCAGGCGTGAATGCAGGGCTTAGCCCCCATGTCGTCAGGGTCTGAGCTGCAGGGCCCAGTGCCAGAGTCTGACTGAGGCCCGCCCAGGCTCGCCCAGCTGCCCACAGCCATGCCAATCCTCCGTCCCTGCTTTGATCCTAAGAGGTAACTCAGTTGCTGCTGAGCAAGTCCGGACCCGGGGCCAAGCCCTGGCTGCAGGGCCGTCCCAACCCCCAGGTTCCCCTGTGAGCATGCAGGGTTGGGTGCAGTGTAGGGGGCAGCGGGGCCAGGGTAAGGCCAGCAGATTGTGATTTCGGCATGCGCAGCAGTAAACAGCAGCTTGAAGCAAGGACTTAATCTCCCTGACCCGGACTCCTAACCCCCGGACCACAGGAGCCAGCAGTTAGGGCTAGAGCCCCTAGTCCCTGCCTGACTAGTCAGGAATGAATTCAGGCGAGGAGGCAGAAGGTAAAGAGTAAAGTAAAAAATTTATTGAAAAGAAAAGGACATGCGGAAAGGCGCTTGGGCAAGTTCAGAGAGTTGAGCCTTTGGAAAGTTTAAGTCCTTTATAACAGTTTTCCAGATCTCTGTCTTCCCTCAGGTCAGTCATCTTGCTTTGTCCTCCCCCCTACCCCCCCACGGTTAATTTGTCTCAGGACCCTCCCCTGGGGTGCGCACGCACCCGTCAGCCAAGATAGATCTCGAAGTGAAGGCTTCTGGGAGGAGCAAAACTTAATATGGCCTGGAATTATCTTCAGACTTCTGACTCCAAGGAGCCTTTCTGTGCATGTGTAGTGCCTCCCTTATCCTAAAAGGGGGGAAGAGGAGAACCCTTAATCCTTCTCTCAGACAGGGTTTTGCCTCTCTTTGTCCTTGCCATGATTGTTGCCTTGAGATGTTAACAAGCGACAAAGACTGGCTATTTACCCGGTTTTTTACCCTGGCTATTTACCTATTGTTATTTCCATTTCAGAGAGCAATCAGGAGGCCGATTGTAAATTCCTCAGTTGGAGCCCACTTATCTCCTGTCCCAGAAAATGCAAACAGAAGGATGGCTGATTGTAAAAGTCCAACCCAGAGCCCGTCTATCTCCCACCTCTCCGGTCTGATCTCCGCCCCACCCTGGGCTCTGTGTCAACTTCCTGGCCAAGCCCGGGCAGGGGCTGCAGACCTACCCCACCCTCCTCTCCACGCTTCGCTTGATTGTCCCTCTCCCATCACAAAGGTGGTCTGGCCATGCCCTTTGGACTCAGCCCCGCAGTCCTCTGTAGCCTTCCTCTGGGCAGTTTTTGCTCCCCACCCCGCCCTCTCCGGGAGCAGTCTGTGCCTGGCAAACCCCCGGGGCTGATTCAGTAGCAGGGAAGATGAGAGCAGTTGGAAACAATTCCCTCCTCCAGCAGCCAAGGTCTGGGGGCTGCCTGACTTTGCACAGACAGGGAGGTCAGCAAGCCCCAGACAGGGCGTCATGGCAGTCAGGAGCTCAGGACTTCAGAGGTGCCCTCCTTTTCCCACCCCCCAGCACCTCCACATCTGGTCTGTCACCCCACCCTGCAGAGGCCTGATGCTGCCACCCCCTGGCCTGTGGCCCCCTTCCCCCCTCCCCTGGCAGGACCCGTGCCCACTGCATCTCAGCCGCACACTGCCCCCTGCCTCTCGGCAGGCCCCTCCCGACCATTCTCCTCTGAAATCTGGAACCCCGTTTCTAAAGCAAAGATGCTTAAACCCTTTGATCAGCCTGCACTTGAGTGGCCTTCAATGCTCTCCAAGACGGTCCCCCCACTCCCCATCTCCCTCCCTTGCCCTGCCTACTGGCAGCCCTTCCTCCAGCCTGACCTCACCAGCTTTCCAACCCTCACCCGTGCAATTCCCGCCTTACCTGTCACACAAGAGACACTTCCTGAAATCCCTCTTCCCCACTCCACTGAGACCCCCGCCCCCTGCCCCCGAGCTGTCCAGGCTCCTGGCTGTGCTGTGCGTCACGAGTCTGTGTCCTCCACTTGCCCCCGAGGGCTCATGCTGGGACTTGGACTGCCCGGCTGGGTGCTGGGCCCAGAGAAGGTTCCAACAGGAGGGCAGATTTCACAACTGGGCGGGAGAGAGGAAAGAAGAGACCCAGGGATCACTGACCTGGAGCTGAGAGTGGCTTGCGCACCCCATGGGTCCCTAGGGGCGCTGGGGAGGGGTGAGCTGCAGCCTCAGGCATATGAGGTCTGAGAGGGAACCTTTGTCGTTGCCCTGGAGCAGGGGCATTGCCCACCAGACTCTCTTCGGCTGAGCAGAGGGGCCCGGATCCTAGCATTCACTGAACGAAGGCCAGTGTCTGAGTCTGCAGCCCGGAAGGAAATGGGAGGCCTTTAGAGAGAGACCCACTGGAAGTCAGAGAAAGGCCTGGAGAGGCGGGAGGAGTCTCACCAGGTCTGTCAACACCCCAGAGCCAGTCTCTCCCAGTGGGGAACCCAGACCTGAACCAGCCTGCCCAGAGGCGCTGCTGAGCCTACATCTTCTTTTTGAAACATATTTATGTTTGTTTGGCTACGCCAGGTCTTGGTTGTGGCACGTGGGATCTTTACTTGCAGCACGTGGGATCTAGTTCCCTGAAATTCCCTGAACAGGGATTGAACCCAGGCCCCCTGCATTGGGAGCATGGGGCCTTAGCCACTGGACTGTTGCAGAAACTAGTACTTGAGAAACCAAGCACCACACATGGAGAGTAGGAGAACTCAGGTTTATTAGGCTGGTGGGCCCAGAGGAGTTAACACTCCAAGCTCTGAGCCCCGAACAAAGGGGTTACAGAGTCTTTACAGACAGACTACAGTGGGCAACACTAGCTGCTAATAGGCTGGTTTAAACTAAGGGAGGGGGATGCCTGACTTTTACACGGACAGGCATGATGAAGCAGGTTTGCAGGGGCTGAGCAATTGCAGAGAGCAGGACACGGGTGAGGGAGATAAGCTCCAGCTCCTAGTATTGTTAAGTCCCCACTTTCTGATACTACATGACCTACGTGATCCAGACTTTGCAAGGAGCCCAGCTGAGTTACAGAGGCAGAAGGAGCAGGAGGTTAGGTAAAACTTTAACTTTTCCTCTTCATGCCCCCCTCTTGATGCTTCTATCACTCATGTAGAAAGCATCATCTCATGTTTTGGTAGGATACTCAGAGCTCTGCGTCATTTAGGGGGCTATATTGAGCTATTACCATTTGCAACTTTATGGATTCAATCTGAGAGGTTATGAACTGGGTAATTGCATTGAGAATACAAGGGCCAAACAAGAGCGCTGCAAAGGGCAAGACGAGAAGACCTGTTAAAGGGAGAAGCCACGAGGCCCCGCTCCAGATATTGCTCTAATTACCCCAGGAATTAGCTAGTTTTTCTCTCCTGTTTATGATTTGTTCCCTTAGCTGTTGGGCCATGTCCCTGACTATTTCTGATTGGTTTACATAAAAGCAGCATTCTTCATTCAAGAACAGGCAGGGGAAAAAAAGAACAGGCAGAGTCCTCCCTTTTCAGCTGTCAGGAGGTCTGCTGCTGCTGCTGCTAAGTTGCTTCAGTTGTGTCCGACTCTGTGCGATCCCATAGACGGCAGCCCACCAGACTCTGCCATCCCTGGGATTCTCCAGGCAAGAACACTGGAGTGGGTTGCCATTTCCTTCTCCAGTGCGTGAGCCCAAATGAATGGGTGTCTTTTCTAAGCTTTCTTGGGCGATAAGGCAGAAGACTTTTTCAGGGCCTGGAGGTGTCGGGAAATCTCCAGGTCAGTTAATTGTTGGTGGTCTCCCTTGAGGTTTTTATCACTGGCAGTGGTCTCCCATATAAGATCTCAAAGGGCGAATAGCCTGAGGACCTCAGGGTGCGTTTACAGAAGGAGATGAGAGTCTATAGAATGACAAGGCAGCTTGTTCTAGCATTGTCTAGGTGATGGCCAGGGGATATTCTTGTCGTACTACTACTTGCAGAAACTTAACAAGAAAGTTTAAGACATGTGGCCCAAAGATTAATAGAAGTAGGAAAGCTGCTGGGGGTGCTTAGTCAGGAGAACCAGGTCCAGACATTGGCTTCTGACATTAGTGTTTCTCTAGGTATGAGAAGATGCAAGAATTTGGACTCATAAAAATCTTTACCTGAAAACATCTGACTATCTGAAGGCCTGATTTCCCAGGGTTTTCCCAGAGTGTCTTATTTTTTGTCTCCACCCTGAACTCCTTTCAAGAGGGTGTTTAAGGTCAGCATCTTATAGGGGTCACAATTTAATCTTTGTAGAGGCAGCTGGCAAGGGTCAGCTTCCAGTCAGCAAGGCCCCTTCAGAGCCACATATTTGACCATGTTTTGGGGGCATTTCATAGTCACTCACTCCCAGGTCTAACAAAGATTCCATTGACAGGCCACTCAGTGTGTTGTCAGTAGACCAGGCCTTGTAAGTAGCAAAAGTCTCTGGACCATACTTGTTTTACTAGCCTCTTGGTCCAGGAAAATATTTCCTCTTGTTGCTTCTTCCTGTATCTAGAGTTGAATTATTACAACTATTGATCTCATATGGATCTGCATATCAGCATTTTATCACAGGCTGAGTCACACATTTGGTAACATAAGAAATAATCTTCTGAAACAAGCTACATAGAAAATAATATAGCTAGCAGTTATTAGTAAGGTCACAGGCAAGAATTTAAGTCAAGAACTTTCATTGGGTATAGCCCGGTATACCCCAGGTCATCTGACTCAGTTAAATGATTATAGCCAAGTGTTAATCTCCTGGTAGTACATCATGGAGCATCTGACCTTTATCCAAAGACTGGTTACTGACTCAAGCTTTAGAAAAAATCTTAGAGTGTCCTTTTTAATAACTTGATTAAACCTTTTAGCAATATAACAAGGAACTCTCTCAGAAGTGAGTCTTAGTAAGCATGGACCTTAATTAACTAAACTAGAATTTAAAATTCAGTGAAACATAGTTTTTTCTTTTTTTGGAGAACTCATTGTGAGGGCAGTAACACTATAGCCAGGGAAGGCTTAATCCCATCAAATAGAAATGAGGTCTGTCAGGGAGCTGGGAAAAGCCAAGGGGCCGTCTTGGATTTCCCATAGCTCTGGCTGTTTGGTTTTTAACTGTTGTTTATCCATTTTTAATTTCCTGATTTAGGAGCAGACTATTGCCATGTTTTAAGGACATCAAGATAGCAAAAGTCTAACCATGAGGAGTTATTTTTTTGTAGAAGTAGAATGAATTTTGTCTACATGTACCATAATTTTAAATAATAAATCACTTAAAGGCAAAGGAATGCATAATCTGTTATCAAAAGCTGCACTCTAAGAAAACTTTGTTCTCTAAACAGAGAGAAGACCAAATTCCAGTCTGGTACCAGTTTACTGTTAATAACAAAATTTGTTTATCTGCTTAATCTTAGAAAGTCTTCTCCATAAATCTTGAAGAACTAGCAGTATTTTTCTAAAGGCATGAGAGTAAAACTATAGAAGGCATGTTTAGAATCTGATTCTATTGCAGTTGATAAAGAAACCTTGTCATAACACTTTAATATGATAACTAGAATTATAACTGACTATATTTTATCAGGGCATATCAGATATATATGAATTTCACATAATTTTAGGATATCTATATTAGTAACATCAACCATACAGTATAACCTGAAAAGATTTTTCACCCCTTTAACAGTACTTCCCATGTAATTTAACATGTCCAGTGAGCCCAGGTAGCTTAATAGCTCTTTGGGATGTCTCAGGGGCCCTCTGAAGCATCCCAAAGTTAGCTAGAAGTCAAGTTATTTAGGAAGTTTGGTCAATAAATGTCAAAAGGGTTTATAACAGTCAGGTAGGATCATATAAATTACTGTGAAATAATAGTTATTTACTTAGCCAAAGTTAACAAAAGATTTCAAAGGTAAATATAGATCAGATCAATTAAGAGGTAAAGAAACTTAAATCTATTATTAAAAGCAATTCAACATCCGAAGAAAGTATGTCCTCTTAACAGAGAGAAAGGCCAAATTCAAGTTTTGCACCAGCTTACTTTAAACTCATTTAGGTAAACTTAATTAAATTTATTTTAAACTTAGTCAGTCCTAACTATGCACAAAACTTTTTTAGGATCCACTTTCCACAAACCTTTTAATCACTTTCTGTAACAGCCATCTGTAAGTCAGACCGACT